GTGTATATGCACGACTCGTGTGCTTATTTTGAAGAATAAATGTTAGAGAACAGTGTGAATATACTCCACGTGACTCATATAGATGCTCACACATCTGCTCCCGAGTTTGCGACGTTGAGAATCGTAGATACGCCATACGTGCCACTGGTGTCTAAGTAGTACGAGGGCGGTAAGCTCCAGCATTGCCGTGCAGAAGAAAGGGCTTCTGCTGATCGTTCTCGTCCGGGCAAATACACACAAAAAATCAGCTGAGAACGTTGAGGTAGGACAGACGTGCACAGCGCTGCTTAGCTTTATGCGTCAATCACTCCGTGTGTGTGTGTGTGTGTGTGTGTGTGTGTGTGTGTGTGTGTGTGTGTGTGTGTGTGTGTGTGTGTGTGTGTGTGTGTGTGTGTGTGTGTGTGTGTGACACCTGTGAGGGGTATAGGTAGGAGGGGTGTGGGTAGGATAACGGCGTCGCTGCGACCAAGATGCTTCCTTGAATCACGTGCACACAACCACAAGGCTACCGCCTTGACTACAACAACTATCACGACCACCACGAGTCTCGTTACCGTGAGGGCTGCGCGGTTGTTCATGGCGGTGGTCGTGGCGACGACCGTCTTGCGCGGCGTCCGCTGAAGATGCACGCGGCCGCTCGCCTGTGGAGAGACGGAGGGAAAGGGGGAGTGGGAGTGTGCAGAAGGTGGTAAGCTGCTGGTGGGGATGAGTCGTGTGTGTGTGTGTGTGTATGTGTGTGTGTATGTGTGTGTGTGTGTGCGTGTGTGTGTGTGTTTACAGGATTTAATGCAGGACGGGACAACACACCAATCACAACAGAGTGTCACGGCTGATGTACACACAGACATACACACGCACACGCACACACACACGCACACGCACACACACACACAATTGCATACACCACCACCACCACCACCACCACCTGCTCGACAGACGACTTTGCGCCGTCAACGGTGACAATCGCCGATTCGCCATCAGCGCCCGTCACGACAACCAGCGCGCCCTCAGACAGCTAACGTGGCACGCAAGGAAGGGTCGTGGCGGGTTGCGGTGACACGTGAGATGGGGAAGGAAAGAGCGGGCGTGGCTAAAGCAAACACACAAGCACTCATCCAAACGTCGTAATGCACAATCACATGCACACGCACACACACACGCGCACGCACGCACGCACCGCGTTGAGAGTGACGGGGGACTTGATGGGCACAGAGAGGCGGTGGACCTTCGTCGCTGTCAAAATCAACGATGTCATGTAGGTGCGAATAATATGGGGAGGGGGTTGAGCCAGTTGGTACCCCATGGAGCGATTGTACTTCCGTACAGCAGGCACACGAGTGCACACACAGACACACACACAGACACACACACACAGACACACACACACACAGACACACACACACAGACACACACACACGGCCTATCAACTACTTCCTCCTCACTCTGCCTGCACACGGAGGGATACACACGTGCAGAGAACTGGGCAATGGCGATATCGGTGGCTGCGGCGGTGGCGGTCGATGCACAGACGACGGCGGCGTCCGTGGTGGTGCACACATCGCCCGAGATGGCCGTCTTGGCCTGATGGCGACGGCAACATGGTGGGGTGCACACAACAGGGTGAGGGTTGATTGGCATGTGTGCGTGTGAGCAGACGATGGAAGACACACCAAGGCACCGAAGATGAAGAGAACAAGAGCACACACACATACACACACACACGCACACACACACTCACACACATACACACACACACACTCACACACACCTCCTTCATCTGCTTGGTCTGCGGGTCCAGCTCCAGAACAACGACATCATCACCATCATCACCATCACCACCATCGCTGGCATTGCTGCCGGCGGTGCGGGCGGCTGCGCGGACGCGGCCCTTTGGCGAGCACGACAGCGACAGCACCGAGTACCTGGCGAAGGGTAAATGGAGGATGGGAGGGAGTGGTGGGTGTATGCGTGTATGCGTATGCATGTGTGCGCGTGTTGTGTTGGTTTTGGTTGAAAGTGAGAAGGGGGTGGTTCAAAAGTGGAAATGTGTCCTGACTACTTGGGGCCACGCCCTGCCAGCTCACACTTCCCACCAGCCACCAACAACTGCGCCACCACCACGAACAACTGCGCCACCAGCAGCTACGTTATCCCCTCTCTTTCCCTCTCTGCATCATTTCGTGCGACCAAATCCCCCACGTGCTCACGTGTCTGCGAGGTCGATGGACCAGTCAATGTTGCCCGTGAGACCGTTCGTGAAGGCGACGCGCGAGCTGTGCAGCGTCACCACCAGCGGGCCTGCAGTCGGTGCGGGGTGGTGGTGATTGGTGGTGATTGGTGGTGAGGTGCATGGATGGTGACTGGAGGTGAGGTGGATTGGCATCATCATCGCCAATACAGAACATGACGCGAGAGATGCGGACGAACAACGCAACGAGCACAACAACGAAGGTGGCATGCGCAGCAGGGTGCGCACACACGCACGCACACACACACACACACACACACACACACACACACACACACACACACACACAATCGCACCGCTTGATGAGCGGAGGAGGCAGGTGTCAACGCCAGCCGTGCGATCGAGCAGAGACGCGTGTCTGTAAGGACGTGTAATTGGCGCGCGATTGAGTGGTGAATGGATCAAAACAAAGTGAGGTGCAGTGGAATGGTTAAGATGGGAGTTGCCACACGGAACGTCGAATGCGCGCAAGTAACAAGGCACACAATTCATACAATACAACACAACACCCCACACAGCAAGAGCGCAAACAACACCCACGCACGATAGTTGCTTCAAAGCAATGACTCACTGTGGCGGCGTGGCGGGAACTTGGCTGGAAGGGAGATCGCGAAGCGGGATGGAGCCGGGGGATGCGTCCAGGACAGAGACGCCATGACGCATGGTCAGGCCGACCACGCGCTTGGCGCCGCCACAGACAGCGATGACCGTGGATTGGCCGCCTGCAGCGAGGGGCGCAGATTTGTGTGGTATGCACCGTCAAGCACCGAGAGCAGCCAGGACGGGGGCAACAAGTGTTGCCTGGATGCAGCAAGATCGATAGCACGTGCACTGAAATGCCGCATGCAATCATGCACACAACCATGTCTTCAGGACAGTCAGCTCACCAAAGACGGAGACGATCAGCTCGTCCACGACGTCCGTCTCCCTCAGCGTAACGCGCCACACTGCAGAGCAGCTCTCAGTGAGAAAACGGAGGTACCGGTGGTTTGTTGCACGACACGGTTTTCATGGGCTCGCAGAGTACTGTGATGGGTTCAAAAGTGCGCGTGTTATGATGTCAAGCGGATGAACTCACGGATAGCGGAGGAATCGGGATCGATGCGGGCGATGACGCCTTCGCGCGTGGCAACGACAAGCTCCCCAGCACTGCCCTCTGCAGCCAATAGCACATGTCCAATGTGTTGTTGAACCCTACCAGCGTGTATGTGACGTGCGTGGGTGTGTGAGTGCGTTGGGTAAGGTGTGTTGCGTTGAGGGCAAGGTAGAACCGCCGACATCATCATCATCATCAACAAGCTGCAGCTGCACAATCACAGCCGCGTGCACTCACACACAAAGAGCACACACAGCACGCACACACACACACACACACACAACGCACCAGTCGTACACGCCGGCGTCCTCTGCGTACAGTGCAGCGCACGGAGCCGTGTGCAAGGCGACAAGCCCAACAAGAGCCAGCACAGCAGCCACCAGCAACGGGCGACAAGAACCAGCCATCATCATCTTCATCAATCGCACAGGAGGAACTCTGCCACGAGTGATTCGGAAAATACACCGTATTTTCACACACATTTCGTCAAAGCTGTCTGCGACTGAAATCAGTGTGCGACCGTTGCGGGGAAAAGGAAGGCGAAGCACCAAAGCGGCACACCTCATCTCAGCGAGATGAAGGTGAAGGTGAAGCGTAAGTCAAACGTGTGTGTGTGTGTGTGTGTGTGTGTGTGTGTGTGTGTGTGTGTGTGTGTGTGTGCTGCAAATAGTGCGCGCACCGCTGGGTTTTGATGCTCACGACACATGTGTTTGTTTTACTGGTTGTCGCGTGTTTTTTTTTTTTTTTGACCGCCGGAACCTCACCACGCATCCTCAACAGAGTAAGTGCAAAGACCATGCCATGCTTGTGTGCTACGATCCACAACGCTGACAAGCCTTTGTGCCTAGTGTCTACGCGCGTGTGTGACTCATGTGCTGGATCTCGCTGGCAGGTGGAACGTGGTGGCAGTGTGGAAATGGACGGCGCCAGATGACTCGTGCGGTATTTGTCGGCAGGCCTTTGACGGCTGCTGCCCCAGCTGTCACGAACCCGGAGAGAACTGCCCCATCGGTGAGCACACGTCATTTGTGGTGTGGCTGCGCCCCCTGCGGTATCGCAATCACAGGGGTGTTGCTATCACAAACCCCCGCTGACCTGAGATGAACGACGGCTCGCTTGCAAGTTTTTTTTTTCTTGACTCGCCGCCTCTCCTCCATCTCACCTCATTCCTTCCCCCCGCCTTCCCACTGACATCCGTGCAATCGACAGTATTTGGCAAGTGCAAGCACTGCTTCCATATGCACTGCATCCTGAAGTGGCTGGGCCAACCACAGGACGAATGCCCAATGTGCAGACAAACGTGGGAGTTTCAATAGGAGACCATCACTGTGTTGTGTGTGTGTGTGTGCATATGTGTGTGTGTGTGTGTGTGTGTGTGTGCATATGTGTGTGTGTGTGTGTGTGTGTTTGGATCTGCGTCTTTGTACTTTTCAAACCTTCCCCGTCAATCCCTCTCACACAACATCGTTGATTGGCGATACCACAGCGATGAGGGTTCACACGTCAAACATTACAGCTCTTTGAATACCTATGTACGCCCGGCTCACGGCAGTGGATAATGACACGAACTGGGCAACGAACACGAGAGGCGCAAAGTGGAGACACACACACGCACGCACACGCACACACACACACACACACGCACACACACACACACACACACACAGAACATGTATGCGTGCTACTCGACGCCCCAGAAGCGGACGGACTTGTCGTAGGAGCACGTGACGAGCATCTCGTGGGCGCTACACATGTGCATGTCGCGGATAACCTTGCTGTGGCCTGATGATGGCGGTGAAGATGATGATGATGCCGAAAGTAAAGGGAGGGAGGGTGGTGTGAGTACAAGGGAAAGCGTGGTTGCGAGGAGAAGGGGCAAAGACAGAGGGAGGAAGAGTAAGGGCAGAAGGCGCCTGCAACAATACAAACACACACACACACACACACACACACACACACACACACACACACACACACACACACACACACACACACACACACATACGCGCGCGCAGACGCTCCAAGTCATTCGGACCTTTGAGGCGCTGCACGACCTTTTGTGTCGTCGTCTCCCACACCACAACGTCGTTCGCCTGGTGGAAGTGAGACGTAAACGCGTTGGTTTTGAGTGTGAACAAGTGGTAGAGAGTGGATTGAGGGCAGGTGAGCACAGCTACCGCAGACACACACACACACCACGTAAGCTTTGCTGACCTCTGATGAGGCGTAGACGTATGCGCCAGACGGGTGGAAGCAACAGCGCGGGTTGCTGTACTGTCCGTTGCTCGCGCCATAGAACACCTTCAACTGTTGAATGGTAAGGGCGTGGAGGGAGGGAGTGAGGGAGTGAGGGAGTCAAGACAAATCGACCACACACATCATACATGCACACACTCACTCACATACACACACATCACACATCACACACACACACACACACACTCACACACACACACACACACACACACAAACACACACAAACAGACACGCACACACACACACATCACATCACACACACACACACGCACACTCGCCCTGACCAGGCATTTGTGCTGTCGGGAGAGGAGGATGAGGCGGTCGCGGTCTGTGGCGACGAGCACATATCTGCCATCGGGACTCACGCACGCGTCCATCGCAGAGAAGCTCACATAGTCGTCCAGCAGCTCGTTCATGTTGATGTAGTCAGTTTGCTTGCAGGCAATGTCGTACACGTGCAGGCAACACTCGCCACGCGCACAGATGAGCAGCTGCCCTGGTCGTCCCTCCTTTCCATCATCACCACCACTACCATTGTTGTCATCACCATCATCACCATCATCATCACCATCATCACTGTTGTTGTCGTCACCATCGCCACCAGTGTCTGCTGCTGTGTCGAGCGGCGGTGCAAATGTGACGCACTCCACGTTCCCTTCAAAGTGGAACTGCTGCAACCGCTCGTACTCCTCCCCGCTGTTGTCTCCATTGCCGCTGCCACCATCATCGCCTTTACTGCGCGTGCTTGTTCCGCGCGCCCACAGCTCTGCGGTGCCATCATATGACGCCGTTGCAAAGTATTGCCCGCACGGCGACCACCGCACGCGCACGACGTACTTGCGGTGCTTTGGCCCGGCCTGCACCACGTTGCCTTCCATATCCAACACGTTCGTAGCTCCGTCCATTCCTATGTACATGCGTGTGTGCGTGCATATACGAATGTGAATGTGTTGAAGTCAGCGATGCTGGCCATGGACACGGGATCGAGCACTTGCACCAGTGCCGTGTACACACACACACACACACACACACATACACACGCACACACGCACACGCACACACACACCAACCAACCTCCAACGAGCATGAGGTTGTTGGTGGGGTTGTAGTCGACACATAGGATCGGGCATGGCATTGGGAACTTGGCTGTGGGCTCGTCTGCAAAGACAGCTCCGGAAGGCCATCCACTGGTGTGACAAAGTTACACTTTAACTATAAAGCTGGAGTTCCCTTTCCATCATCACCACCACTACCATTGTTGTCATCACCATCATCACCATCATCATCACCATCATCACTGTTGTTGTCGTCACCATCGCCACCAGTGTCTGCTGCTGTGTCGAGCGGCGGTGCAAATGTGACGCACTCCACGTTCCCTTCAAAGTGGAACTGCTGCAACCGCTCGTACTCCTCCCCGCTGTTGTCTCCATTGCCGCTGCCACCATCATCGCCTTTACTGCGCGTGCTTGTTCCGCGCGCCCACAGCTCTGCGGTGCCATCATATGACGCCGTTGCAAAGTATTGCCCGCACGGCGACCACCGCACGCGCACGACGTACTTGCGGTGCTTTGGCCCGGCCTGCACCACGTTGCCTTCCATATCCAACACGTTCGTAGCTCCGTCCATTCCTATGTACATGCGTGTGTGCGTGCATATACGAATGTGAATGTGTTGAAGTCAGCGATGCTGGCCATGGACACGGGATCGAGCACTTGCACCAGTGCCGTGTACACACACACACACACACACACACATACACACGCACACACGCACACGCACACACACACCAACCAACCTCCAACGAGCATGAGGTTGTTGGTGGGGTTGTAGTCGACACATAGGATCGGGCATGGCATTGGGAACTTGGCTGTGGGCTCGTCTGCAAAGACAGCCTCCGGAAGGCCATCCACTGGTGTGACCCCGACCGTGCGGTCAGCAGACGAGGTGATAAGCTTGCCGTCTGTGCTCAGCCGACACGCCAACACGTTGCCTTCATGGCGACCCTGTGAATGAAATGGCAACAACGTGTGTTGAACGCACGTATGTGTATGTGTGTGTGTACAAACTCACTCACTCACTCACTCACTCACTCACTCACTCACTCACTCAATGACTCACATGCATACACACACGCATACACAGACTCGCATACATACACACACGCCTCACACATACACATATTCACGCCTCACACACCTGGAGGCAGGCGTATTCGACGGCGCAGAACCTGTTGTCGGGCTGGATGGCGGCTGTTTCAAGGGCGGGCTTTGGCTTGCGCGTCGGGTTGACAGTCTCGCGCAGGGTGACCAGCTCGTCCAACATGCTCAGAAGCTGCCCTGATGCTTCCTCTGTGGCTTCCCTCACAGCGCTTGCGTCCTCCATGGCATCTTGCATGGCCATGGCAGCCACATCAAATCCTTGCTCCACAAGGTACTGGTACACCGCAAGCCGAACACGATCTCTGTCCATGGTTGTTGGTTGTTGGAGTCGTGCCTTGGAAGTTTTATGCTGTTGTGGACAGTTGTTTACAGCGGCAGCAGACGACGCCCTTCGCCTTACGCTTGCTCACACTCCTTCTCTTGCTCACACCCCAGGCTGACCGTGCAGACGCTTCTGTTCTTGCTCGCATCACGCCCGCTGTCACGTACCAACGCTTGCAACCATCGATCGCACCACCGCATTCAACCGCGGCATAACGGAAACGGCACAGCACCACCACCATTTCCATTGACGAACGGTTGCGAGACAAGAAGAGAACATCATCACATCATGGCAACGCGACGCAGGACCTCGACGGCTGGGCGCTCGTTCAAGGAGCGAGTGAAGGCGGCGGTGACCGACAACCCATGGGATCGCGCCGTCATCAAAGCCACAGACTCCTCAAAGGACTTGCCAAAGTCCAAACACGTCAAAGGTACAAGAACGACTGTGTGTGTGTGCGTTTCTGTGTGGTGTCTGTGTGTCTGTCTGGTGTCTGTGTCTTGTGTGCGTGTGTGTGTGTGTGTGTGTGTGTTATGTGGCTGTGCCTTATGTGTGTCTGTCAGCCAGTCGGTCAGTCAGTCAGTCTGTCTGTCTGTCTGCAGCTACAAGACAGCCCCCTTCACCTTGCCAACGCATGCTCAGCTCTCTAACTGCGAGTCACACCATTTGCAGTGCTCGTGGACTGCACGTTCAATCCGAGCGTGCCTGCCGCGGATATTGCAGAGGGCCTGTTCCGCAGGGCGCAGGGCGCATCATCGTGGCACGTCGCCATCAAGGCCCTCTGCGTCATCCACAAGCTGCTCAGGGACGGCCACGAGGTGCAGTACATAGGATGGAAGAGAGGCAGCAGCAATGCATGTGACGAACGAGTTGTGACCAAGCAGCCAACTCCATCCCCCCCACCTATCTGCTGTCTCACAACTTGCCTCCTGCTTCTATGCCATGGGTAGAAATTCGGCCACTACCTCGCCACACGATCCAGTCAGCTGCAGCTCGGCGCGTTCATGGACATCAAGTCTGGCGAAGGTGCGTCTGCGTGTTGGATGTGTGTGTGTGTGCGTGTGTGTGTGTGTGTGACATGACTGCATGTTTGTTGTTGTTGTGTCTGTTCGCTCTTTTTGATTTTTTTTTGTTCCAGGGTATGTCGTGCTTTCATACTCATGTGTGGTGGTGTTCATCCCCGCAGGCCCCGCCATGTCGCTGTTCCTGCGGGCGTACGCGCGCTACCTCAACCTGAAGATGACCGCCATTCGTCGTCACGGCTTTGACTTTTGCCACGCAAAGGCTCCGTGCGTTACCTTACTTCGTTTGTGTGTGGCTGTGTGTGTGTGTGTCTGTGTGTCTGTCTGTGTGTGTGTGTGTCTGTCTGTCTGTCTGTGTGTGTGTGTGTGTGTGTGTCTCTGTCTGTTTGTTGTTGTTGTTGCTTCTGCTGTGTATGTGAACGTGTGACAAACCTTCTGCTCACATGCCCAGCGGTGCTCCTCTCATCACAGGGCGGCGTTTGAGTATCTCAAAACGGAGCAGGGACAGAAGGTACGATCGAAATGCAGGTGACAACGCCACTGGCACGCACAATTCATGCTCCTCACCTCATGAAACAACTCACGCCTGCGTGTGTGTGTGTGTGCGTTTACATGTGTGCAGCTGACAGCGACGATTGAGGAGCTGCAGGACACAATTCGCGAGCTCGTCGCTACTGTGGTGCGTGTGTGCGTATGTATGTGTGTATGTGTGTATGCGCGCGCACGTCCATGTTCATGCTACACTGCATCTTAACGCCTCAAGCTCCTGTTTGCCGCTACACGCTCACATTCACACATGCACGGTGCAGCGGGCAGCGCGGGGCCGCCAGCCGTCCTCGCTCGACGCCGCCGACACACCGCTGCCACAGCTCTCCGTCGCAGAGATGATGCACATCCCACTCCTCAGGGTGCGATGCATGCGTATGTGTCGGTGTGTGTGTGTGTGTGTGTGTGTCTGTCTGTGTGTGTGTGTGTGTGTGTCTGTGTGTGTGTGTGTGTGTCTGTCTGTCTGTCTGTCTGTGTGTGTGTGTGTGTGTGTGTGTGTGTCTGTCTGTCTGTCTGTCTGTCTGTCTGTGTGTGTGTGTCTGTGTGTGTCTGTGTGTGTGTGTGTGTGTGTATGTGTCTGTGTG